TTTAGCTAGACGTGTATCCAATAAAACAAGTAGAGTCAACATAAATTTCGGAGACTGACGAAACTATTTATAATGGGGACTTATTTACCACTGTGGATCAATAACTTAGATGATCTATGCTGAATGATTGGGTCCTACTCGAGTTAGACGGTAATGGTGTGATGAACCAGCTAACTTCGAAGTCACACCTCGAGGTCAGCATCTAACATGGATTACCCCTTTGACGTATCAAAGTACTATGATTGCTTTGAAGACCGTATAACACAAAGGACGTTATTACGGAAATACATTAATTAAAATGAGTACAGAGAAGACAGCGAAACCACCACTGCATAGGCCAGTCCATGGTATACGATTAACTGATGCGCTTTGGTTGTCCTTGACTTTGACGAAGATCGGTGATCTATTTGATATTCAGTGATCCAACTGCCGGGTGATTTGTCTGGGGTACAGTGATATTTCACTGGCTCTACAACAACACAAATATGACTGTCGACTGATTATTCTGAGCTCAGTATTTGAGCTGAACTACAGGTGATCTCACACTGTAGTGAATAGTCTTTGTAGCCATACCGTATGCCGAGTTCCAAAGTGATCAATAACGATACAATCACAATCTCACAATACTTATGTCCAGTAACCTTCTTGACACATACTTTTATATTACCTGTATTTTACTCAATTACATTGACGTTTCACCATACACGGTATAATGATTTGTCCTACTTTAATTCATTGTTGGAGACATAAATGACTACTTCTTTAGTTGTTTGCTTATCTAACAACTCATCCGTTGATCATGTTGTATTATTATATTGATCTGTTGGTACTTGAGACATGATGACTAACTGACACTATTGACAGTTTGTATTCATTTAAATACAATACAGATTAGACCAGTCTAATGCAGTCTTGAATTTGTTTCACTACAATGAGATTTCTGGATATCGTATTGCCAATGTTAGTTGAATTCTTATACAGTCACTGATGATTCTAATTGCCAGTACCAATGTAAATCAATTCCAACTACGAAGAGGTCCAATTTCCATGTTAATCCAAAACTACTGCTATTCCAGTTCAGTTTTGTTCACCCAGTCTAATTAAGCTTTAATCGTTCAATAATACTCTATATACTAATGAACTCAATTACTGAGTATTTGTATTCAAATTCTTACTTAATTCATATGTCCTCAGCCATCGATAATAAAGATAACGAGTATAACACTTACCTATTTCTTTAATGTAAAACGTGAAGAACAAGACATAAATTATGGTGTAGGTAAATAGAATGAGATAGTAAGGAATATCACACTATCTACTAACATTAGTTCAGTTTATTTGTCTTAGTAATTATAATTAAAGGCCAATCTATGTACACTTGGTCTACTAAACATTCTAATATTTGAATTTTTAAGACATTTGACTATGCAAGTTCCGTGAATGTCTTTTATAGATCAAGTAAATTATAAGTACGTTATCACATGACTATTAAAAAAAGAACGAGAAACCCTACTGATCAAATCGACAAATTATACACATACATCATACACATACAACTGTTTACAAATATTTTATTGTTTGCAGATGTAGTATTAGAAAAGATACAGTGTACATAGTAATGTGATGTGGAATGGAAAAGCACTGAAGTCAATGTCGACACATATGTACAGAATTTACGAATCTCAAGAAACTTTAGTGGCTTCTGAGATACCGCCGTTGATTTTACTTCATTAAACACTTATATAAGGAGAGTACATCCCAATGTTCAATGGCCCTACGAACTGATGATCCACACTTTTCGTTGGACAGTGTATATTGTATGACAAAGAAGTTCTAGAGCGAATACCCTAATAAGGGGAACAGTGTACAGTTGAAACTAGATGGAATATCACTAGTAGTCCGATCAGCGTGCACAAAACTAAAACATGCATTATTTAAGAATCAAGCTAAAAATTAATAAGCATATAAAATGTAGTTATTACACAATTGATGAAAATGTAATGCTGAATAACAACAATAGGGAAACTCAAGCTATTGCTATTGTGGGGATCGAGAACTCAGGTGGCGGAAAACCAATATACTGTTTTACACAAAATCAAACAATGGCTTTGTTGTATATGTAAACTGTAAATTAAATAAATCATCCTTTCGATCCTGTTGTTATTGTGACTGTTCTTCGTTTTCCTTCCTCTTCTCTTTACTTCATTGATCTTCTGGTAGGTATTCTACTTCTAACTCTTGCTACATACTACGTTCGTCTGTCTGTATAAATAGTGCACACCACACTGTTAGCAGTAAAAATACAATGGCTATCAAACATGTAATTGACTATATGAACTGAGTAGATCAATGCATAAGACGTTGAGATATGAAGCCACTAGTACTGTGTTCGAGCGGCGGAGTGAGAATCAACACTTGGATGCAAGTAAATTAAATTCAAAATTCCTAAATAAGATAGCGCCATTTCTGGATTACACTGCTATCCATGATGCATTTTCACTAAAAGTAACTTTGCTCTGTATCAACATATTCCAGTATAGACTGGTCAAATGCAGTCCTTAATCTTAGCAACCAGAAAACATAGTTGTAAAGATGCAACGGGTATTCGGAGTTTGACAACGCCTTCACACGTAACACCTTTAGAATCAAAGTATGCCAATCCAGTAAAATCAGAAATCAGAAATGAAGGGGGTTGGAAAGTATAATCGGAAAGCTGTTGATATGTCTAGAAGCTTTTGATTTAAGCTGGCTCACAATTGCAAGGGATGCGCAGCACGGCGCACATACTCGTGTTCTGGTTTGAATGAATGACCGAGCTCTTTTAGCTAAGGTTTGTCCAGTGAAATTTAAGAGGTCAACATCAATGTTGAATACTTGCAGAACTATTTATTTTGAGGATTTATTCATCACGACAGACCATTAAAAATCATAATAATCATCACTCGTGATCACAATAATTATAATGAGCATGGAGGGTTTGTGGAATTTCTAATATTTTCATTGGGGAAGTCACGGACTGATCTTAAGCAGACCATTAGTGAAAGCCTGGGAGTTCTGAAGAGCCGTTTTTTCCTGTTACGAGACTCCTCAGAAATGCACACACACGACTCTGAACAGGGGGAACAAACCCATGACCTTTGATCCCGTGCCCGATCGCCTTACATCCAGACTACTGAGCTGGTATCCCACGGTGTTAATATTCAGTTAAAATCAATCCACGATCTTGCACAACCCTTTGTCCATTGCCTTCATTGGATGACTGTTTCTCATTCGACTTGGATTGAACTCTAGTTCCCTGCCCTTCACCCTAGGTTGGTCGTTTATTTTATGTGCACGATTATCGCACGAACGCTAGGTACTTAGCAGATACTGGTGCTCAAGTTTCTGTCGTACCTCTTTGTAACAGTAAGTCACAAGCTACGACGCTTCGACTGTGAGCTGCGAATGGCTCAGCCATTCCTGCCTATGGTACACGACAACTCACTGTCAACCTGGATAACCGACAACAGTATCTGTGGACGTTCATCATTGCCGACGTTCCCACGGCCATACTCGGTAGTGTTTTCCTACAGCACTACGAACTGCTAGTCGATTCACGTAGGCTGCAGCTAATTGATACTTCATCGAAAGCTAACTTGTCCGGTGCCAGTCGGCGTGGTCTTGACGTGACTGGGGGTCCGCGGGTGACTATATGGTGTACCACACGATTGGTCACCAATGAGATCTCCTCGAGTGGTTTAGTTAATCTGTGGAATTTCTCGACTAAAGCGCGGAATATATTGTCACGCGAATAAAAAGTGCCTAAGATTCGTTACGAGTTTGTGTGAGCTTTGAAGCCCATGAATTTGCTGTTTGAGTGTTCTCAAGTCTGCCGTTCGCTTCATAAAATCGAATGATTGTTTTGGAACTATATTGTCCTTCTTTGATCACATGCAAGGATACCTATGTAAAAAAGTGGGATCTGCGTAAAATAATTTTAATTACAGAAACCAATCATCCTTACTAGAGACTAGAACCCCGAATAATTAGTACTCAAGTAGAAAAAAACTTGATCTCTTCCAAAACCTACCTAAAATATTTTCGCTTTCTGTTCCAATCTGTGTAAGCAAGTTTTCTGAAAGCACAAAAATTCAAACAAGATTGCAGAAAAATCAAAAACACTTTTCGCTACTTTTGAAAATAATGAGTGGACCCAGTAAAGGTGGCGAAGTTCGCAGTAAGGCTAAGACAGAGTCAGTGCGTGCCGTTTTACAGTCCCCTGTTGGTCGTGTGCATTTTCTTTCAAATAACGGTACTTACTCTAGGGGAGTTGGTGTCGGTGTTCCGGTCTACTTGGCCAGAGTTCTCGAATACCTGGCTGCAGAATTTATGGAATAAGCTGGCATTGCTTTTCGTGATAAGAAGACTTGCATCACTCCAGGACATTCACAGTTAGCCATTCTCAACGATGATGAATTGAACGAGCTTCTTGGTGGAGTTACTATAGCACACGGAGATGTTCTTCTAAACAAACATGTTGCCTTAAGATATTGTCTATTGACCTTTACCCATTAGAGTATAGGCGTCTTCGAGGTGATTTATTAATGGCTTATAGTATTCTTAACACTTCTGGACATCCTCTTAAACACCTACTTAAGCTTATTTCGAATAATAACCTAAGGGGTAACACCCAGAAACTGGAAACACAACATAGCAAGACGGAATGTAGACACAACTTCTACTCCTTAAGAGTTGTCAAAAGCTGGAATTTGCTGCCGGCCGAGCTAGTCCAAGCGACTTCTCAGGAGTCCTTCAAGAGGCAACTTGACCTATTCTTAAGGACCAACGACAGCATCACACTATGATTTACCAATTTCTTTTCCTCTTTTTTTGTTAACATACCTAGGTTCCTGCTTGGAGGATTTGGTGATCCCCTGCTACTAGACAAGGAAGCCTGTTAAGCGAAAGCTTCTTCTATTCCGTCCACAACCATTTGAACCATTTGACCACTGAAACACTTTACCGCTGGACGTGAAAGTAGGCGTTACCTTGCGGTTGATTTCGTTATGTATGTTATAATCTGTGATTTTTTAAGTCTCATTTTCTTAACATAATAAGCTCATCAGGCTTGATATAACTATATTTAATACAAATCCTTCAGCATAAACAGTACGTTTATAGTGCGCAAAGGATAATTTTCTGTGCAACTAACTGATATCAGTTAGACCATATATATGGTCTAAGCTGTACAGGTTGCTATAAATATAAAATGATACTGGACGACAGTACTTGTGATGCAATTACAAGTATCAAAAAGTGGCAATCTGCTTAATTTAACTGACCAAATTAATTTTAGGAGTCATTAATCATCACAAGCCGGTCTTGGCCGTTGGTTACTTTGGTTTACTGGCAAAACACCTTATTATTGTTTTGTTAAAACCTTGTGTTCTTATTTATTTTACGCTTAACTGGAACTTGAAAATGCTATGCGATAAAAAACCAGATACACTTTTCGACACAATCTAGGTTCTAAAGTACAAGATTTCTTTTAGGTATCATACACCTTTTACCTTATTTGTTTCTCGAATTTGTGTCCATCGATTACAGGGATTTATGCTGCTTTCTGAATAAAGGGGGTGCTAATCAGACATACTGTGGTACTAAAATGACTACTCAAAGATGAAGTCATCAAAAGGATTATAAAGAATTATCCGAAGCTAGGAAGATAATTGACGTCGTCCATGAAATTCTACTATCAGTTTTCGAATAAGTATATTGACAGACATAAATTCCCGTCTCTACCTTTTCCATGATTGTTTTCTTACCTGAAAAGCATTTGATCGGAAGGAATAAAACTTGCATGTGTGTTGGTAAGATCCATGATCTTTAGAAAGAAAATCTGAAAAGGTCTTTTTGGGTGAGAGTTTTTAGGGGTAGTATGATGATCGGACATGAGTTTTTACCGACACCGAGGGATCGTATGAGACACTTGATTGAGGTGTGTTAGCTCTACTGTAATAATTCCCGATAAAATCTCAACACGGACTTAGAAACTTCCTTTATGATTCATCAACCTACGACACCCATGGAGCAAGAGAGACATTCAGGAATAATGCGTAACAGTCTACTTTGTATGTCAAAGTTGACGGGGTTTATTGCTCCTTACTTATACGATACAGTTTATCAGTACAAACAAAAGCAGGAGTTCGGGTCTGCAAATCATATTTTCATAAGGTATTTGTAGATGCTTATATACTGGAAGGCTTACAGGATGAGTGATCAACTTGTTTAGTCAGATATTATGTCCATAATTCTAAAACGTTACCCCAGCGGACAAATCTGTCACATTTGGTGTACATTTCTCAAACTTTGGATGTTCTGAAACAATATGACCCCTTTTAGTTTATACAGGATCTAAGATATGTGTACTAAAACAACAAATACTGATGTATTTATTTGAACATGAGTGAAGCCGTAGCTTAGCAGCTGAAACACATATTATTAAACCTCTAAGTAGTATCTCTAAATCTTGCTTCATCTAATTTTTCTCAGCATCTATGTAGGGTTCTGATCCCTCACACAGAAATTGTGTAGTTCGAAACAAATGCATGATTTTAAACTTGAGTTACTTCATTCGGCTATGAGTTACATAGATCCATACTTATATAGACCAGAGTAAATTGCGTTATTTTGACATGAAATACCATGTCTATCAAGATCTTATTAAAAAGACTTACCAATAAGTGTAATCATCCTTTAAAAATTGTTATCGACGAATAATAAAGCTTTTGAAATATAAAAAACTATTCTAACGGGTCTAATCAAAGTAAAACTTTAATGCGTAAGATAAGTTCTGTCAAAGAATGTACTTATACTTAAACAAGTATGATCTCACTTTCAAACTTTTCAGTAGTGAATATAACTTACTGTTTTTATCATTATAGGTAATCATGAACTGTAACACACAAAACCAATCATCAGATGAACCAGAGAAACTTCGTAAAACAAGGGAAAAAGAGAATAGACAAACAGCTATTTGTGCTAACTTTGACAAATCAATCGTTCTATGGAGTCCAGGCGATATTGGCAGTATGGTATTACATGAGGGTTTCAATCTACATAGAATGCCAAAAAACTATCTTACAAGGAAATCCTACATCGAAAAACTAATCTACCATGCTACAATGTCAGATTCAATCAAATCTCCATTTGCTGGGTTTGTTGCTACTGTTTATTTATACCAATATGAATTTTATTATTAGATTCAAAGTAGCCAATGAATATTTAAATGAACTGGATCATATTGATGTAATCAGTGGAATCAAAGTAATTTGTTCAATCTTATTGTATATGCTAACCTTTTTTTGTAGACATTCAAATCGTTTATTCGATCTTTTTTCAAAAATAATAGTCGTACATCAACTATGATTCATAAAATAGGAAGAACATGGCTTCTGAATGAATTCGATATTGATTCATTCTTGTTATCCGGAGGTGAATGTGTATGTTATATTCTTATTTTCACTCAGATAATTTCTTCATTTTTGTAGCACGAATGGTTATGGCTTCGTGAATTTCTAAAAAAGGAAGATTATCGTTTGTGTTCTCATTCATTGTCGCGTAATGTGTTGATTTCAAATGATCTTGAATCGAAATTTCTATATCATACGTAAGTATCTGGTTTCATTGCTTTATTTGATATGTTACGTTTATTTTGTTTCCTCTCGGATAGGGTTTTCCAATCCCCTGAACTTGGCTTGAAAAAAATACAAATGTTACAACCAAAAAGTTTACCTTCATCAAGTGGTGATGATCATGCTGGAAATGAAATCACTAAAGAAGTAGCTTGCACTCCGTTGGATCTGAGTTCTGTTGGGGTTGAACATTTGTCCATGGTAGACGTCGCATTGTCATCATCATTGGACGATGCAGTTACAACCAACAATGCTGAACAAAATAATGAAAGTAGACAGTTTCGATCATCATGGGTTATAAATCCAGATCAATATCTTCATACTGCTGAATGGCAATTAAAAGATCTCAGTTTTATTGTGGGCTCTGATATGCCTATATTCGGCACACCGAAACATCCTTGTATTAGTCTAAAATTAAGTCCATTACATGAGTCGATTAATGTTTTAACCGGAATTGATGTATGGCTTGAAAATATTATCAATGAAGTCCCCGAAGTGGCTATGTGTTATCATCATGAAGGTATCGTCATGCAAGAATATGAAATTTACAAAACATGTGAAATTCCACCGATAATTGGATTTGAAACGGAACAAATTAATCAAATTATACGTAATTTAGTTATGTTTTTAAAACGGAATGCAACACAAGAAGGTCATACATATTGGCTTGTAAAAGAACCTGGGTTAGGTGTTGTTAAACTATATGATTTGACAACTTTAGGTTATAAAGAATTTCTAAATAAATGTTCAGAGGAACCTAATGGTCGAGAGGCATATATGAAAGGTGAGATTATATGAAGTCTAGTAGTGTATTTTTAAATAGTTTTATATTACAATGCTTTTCTTCGTGCTTGATCGACTAGTGTTCTGCTAAATTTTTACGGTCATCTGTTGAAATATTTACGTAGTCTGTTTAATAAACGTGCGGAATGCGGTTATGAAGGCCTTACTTCATGAAATTTATGGTACACCAATTTTATACCCTCCCAAATACTCCCAACTTACAGCAATACACTTGTCTTATCTCCAATTTCATTGTTCAAAACATATCTAGATGTCTTCAAAATTCAAGCTATTCAGTTGCTTGGCTGTTTTTTCAATGGGTTATCACTTTAAACAGTTCTCAACATTTCCCGAGAGTTCATTTTTGCCCATACTGAGCAACATTAATAGATCAACTCGCATTCATTGAACAGACTGTGTTTAGCTTGAGGACTCTATTGCTACTCCGAAAAACACTAGATTTGTAAAATCTCATTTTGATGCTTTATATCGGGCTGTGGGTATCAACATCAAGTTTTATAATATCTGGGATTTGTGTATAATGAACTACTTTTTCATGACTCACTATACTGCTCACTGCTTATCTGCTTATACTGACTAGTGAAAATCATACTAACTTGTTAAAAATACTGCAAATGGTTGTTAGTAAAACATTTAAAAATCAAATATCTTGCAACATCACGTGTCCGCTTCTTTCTTTATTTATTTGAACACATAAATGTTGGTACAAGGGGGCACCAGATATATATACGCCACACAATAAAAGTGAAGGTATAAAGAATGTAAGGTGCGTATGAGAGAGAAGAAAAGAAAAAAAAAGAGAACAATAACGATCACAGATTAGTTTATAGTAGTGTAATAATAATAATGGGGGGGAAACAGAAAGGGACAACCACAAAAAATTCTTTCAGTTAAGGAAGTTACAACCACTTTTTATGAAGAAAGTAAAAGAAGGTTACAGCAGGATCGCCACTGGCTTCTATTCTGAGCCATATCTGATAACGTCTCTAGCCACTGTGTTGCACCATCTCTCCGACCCCGGTCAGAGAGTCGAGAAGGACCAACAGAAACCAGTCCTTTGCAGCTTTCTTTCATACCACGACGCCATGTCATACACTGACCACTTCTACGCTTCTTCCAACCAGTCCTAGTGTCGGCAAATAATGCGCGACGTGGAATTCGCTGGGACGACATTCGTAGAACATGTCCAGACCACCGAAGTCGATGTTTCAAGATGTTGACACCAATTGAATTATCGTCGCTGTGTCCGAACACACGATGTTGAACCTCTGCATTATTAAAATGGTGTTACCACTGGATGTCAGCAATCGTTCAGAGACAACGATGATCAAACACAGAGAGTCATCTAACATGCTAAACTCGGATAGGCCATGTTTCACAAGGATAGAGCAGAACTGCTCTCATCGACGCGTTGTAGGTCTGACCTTTTACAGCGAGACTGACATAAGGAAGGCGCCAAAGATGGTGCAGATTAGCATAAGCCTCTCTGGCTTTGATTATACGTGAATTGATCTCATGACTCACGCCACCACCAGCACTTATGCAGCTACCTAGATACACGAACTTCTCGACTACTTCTATCTGCTCACCACCCAGGGTGAGTATAGGATTATAATTCTGCCAGTCTTGTAGAAGTACTTTTCACTTGGAAGGTGCAAAGCGCATACCGTAGCTACGGACACTGATTGCCAACAGATTAAGTGTGGATTGCATGGTTTGGGTATTATCGCGCAGCAAGACAATATCATCCTCATACTGGAGGTGGAGAATTCTTTCTCCATGCAACAGATCCAGACCGCCATTCCTTACATCCCTCAGAGCTGTTTCCAGAACGTTGTCGATAGCGAAGTTGAAGAGGGATGATGAGATTGGGCGACCCTGTCTAACAATGGAGTAAGGTGGTTATATGCCCTCACTCTGCCTGAGGTGTTTTTATATAGGGCCTTTAGGATGTTAATAAACTTCTCAGACACACTCTTCTTCAATAGGCAATCCCAAGGAACAGTCCGCTTCTAACAATATTTCTATATTCAGCTTCGTTGCGGATACATTAATGGAATCAATCGTCCCTATCTATCTTCTGAATGGTTAATCTCTAGTCCACGCATTGTATAATCGAACTACATTGTTCAGAAAGGACATCCTTGTTTTACTGAGGTTGCGAACAGGATGCAACTTTATTGAGTGACACATAGAGAATTAATTCATGCGTTCTGGTTCTTAGTTTAACAACAGAATAGCCCTTTTTTTGAAACATAACCACGGTCACTAAAAGCTACTCTTATCAAACTAACCTTTTTTAGTTATAGTATGTTATTTAAACGCATCTAACAATGTATGCTTAAAACACTTGCTTTCATAGGTTAGACATACTCTATGAATTTCTTCCTAACCGCTTTCACATCGTACATTATTCGGGGATGTTGCGACTGGGTGGTGAAGCGGAGAGCTAGTTTATGACATGGTATTATGGTATAAAAGAAAGCTGTAAGGGAGTGGAAAATGAATTGGTTCATCACGATACCATAATTGAGTCCTTGAATCAGTGCGATTCATTGGCTTCAGACCTAATCAGTCCATGACTCAGAACAGACGTTAGCAAAGATCCTACTGCTGTTTTCTGTTGCATTTATCAACCCGTTATATACTACTCTATAACTTTAAGGAAGAGAGCAAAAGTTTTCAGTTCTTAGCTTTTCTCTTCCAAATGTTCATACGAGTCAAAACTGTTACAGTATTATTGTTGTGCATAATTTGTAAAGTTTACATCCGATCTATATTCTCTTAAATGTAGATTATTATCAGTAAAAGTTTATTGAGTTTTTTTTCAAAATTCAATTTTGCATTTTTTACTTTCTTTTTAGACAATAACCCATTTATCCTGCCTGTTGCATCATTATGCTATAAATTAGCTGAAATTCGTGTTAAAGAATATATACATTATCGTGAAACTCAAATTTTTCAATCAACAACTTTTGATTCTTTTAATTCAACATCGTCATCATCATCTCCACGACGATATTCAACTGACAATAATGATTTCAATGAAATAACTACTGTTATGGATGCTTTACGTTTATTGAGAAACTGTTTAAATTTAATATCAGTTCATGAAAATTTTTATAATGTGTCAGATCTATCAGGTTTATCATTTAATCCAGCAACTACATCACCTGGAATACAAGATTTAAAATTTCGTGCAGTATTATTACTATGTCGATTGTATCTAATTACACCTACAAATGTGATTATGACATGTTTTAAAGATATTCAAGGATTGGTATGTGCAAGTCGAGAGGTAAGTTCTTCCTAATAGAAAAAATAACAACAATTGAATTACAAATATATTTGTAAGATTCTATTTGATGAATTAGCTAAAGAACCTGATTTTTAGTGACTCTCAAGGATATTTTAATTAGTGTGAATAAATATAGAGCAAGTATTCTAAAGGTGTTGATATTCTAACTGGGGAGTAGATATGAATATCTGATAAGATGTTTATCTGAACATAATTACTATACTTACTTACACCTGTTACCCCTCATTGGAAAAGTATAGGTCACCCACCAGGATTCTCCATCCAACTTTGTCCTGGACAATCATTTCCAGTTGTTATCCATCCTTTTCATTACTGATTCCAAGTCTCGACGTAGTGTGTTCCATAGCCTTCCTCTTTTCCCGTTCTATTCAGGATTCCAAGTTAACACTTGCATCGTGATGCAGTTTGGTGATTTCCTTAATGTGTGTCCTATCCACTTTCATCGTCTTTTCCTAGTTTCTTCTTCATCTGAAAGCTGGTGTGTTCTCTCCCATAGTCGGTTGTTGCTGATGGTATCGTACCAACAGACATTGAGTATCTTGAGTAGACAATTGTTTATAAATACTTATACTTTCTTGATGATGATTGTATCAGTTCTCCAAGTTCCAGCTCCATACACCAGAACTATCTTTACGTTCGTATTGGAGATTCTGACCATAAAAATTATAATAACTAATCTAAATTAAAATCAGTCTAATATCCAATGCATTTCTTATACAAAATAGCGATTATTTTATTTCATGTAACATTTGAATTCTTATTGAATCATTATTATATAATCATCATTTCATCTAATTGTATATCACTCTACTGCATCTTCTTTTTGTTATGTTTATGTAATAAATACCGTTTTAATGGAGTTTTGTTCTCTGAGCTGGATGGTTTGGTCAAAAAGAACCAATCAACATCAAAGTGTACAGAGCAAGCTGTGAAACGCATATGGCGAAATTCGAACACTTCACTTCTATTTGAAGTTTGTGCTGATGATGTCGTTCAGAAGAACGATGAAAGCTCCACGACCAAACCATCCAGCTCAGAGAACAAAACTCCATCAAAATCATCCACCTGAGCTACAAATCTTCTTCACCATCTCAAATATCGTTTTATTTCTTTCATTGATAGACTGTTAGTGTAAATATTGAACAATTTGGAAAATCTTTGAATTCTTCAGAATTAAATACATTTACTTTATCTGATGAAAATGAACAAATTACTGGCACTACTACTAATAATAAAAATTCAACATTGGTTTCAATCAATTCCAATCGTAATTATTTAGGTTCAATGATTATTGATGCATTGAGGAAATCGAATACATCGCAACTTTCTGAATTAGCTATATCAGTGAGTAATATATTTTTTTCATCAAATTAATTATTTTTGTAATAATAATAATATTAATCTCTAGAACGGATATTGTACTCAGTGACTTATATATTGGGAAATGAAGTATTTCCAAAAATGTAGACGATACCGGAATCAATCAACAAAGGATGCCTAAATCTCAACTGTGACTGATCAATTATAATTTCGATTATCAAAAAACTCAAACGGGAAGTTATAAATTCATCAATATTCACAGTTTAGTTCATTGACCGATCTGTGTTAGACTGCTACGGAAAACCTGAGAGTACTGAAAACGTGTTTCGTTCCAGTAGTGCCCATCCACAACTCCGCGACCGGAAATCGAGCCCAGGCCCTTCGGTCTCGTGCTCGAATCTTTGACCTCTAGACCACGGAAACCAAAGACCCTGTGCTCGATTCCCAGCTGCAGAGTCGTGGTTTCACAATACTGAGGAGTTCCGTATTAGGACAAAGTGGCCATCCATTGCCTCCAAGTTTTCAATGGTTGTCTAACTCAGATTTGTTCGTTGTATCATTGAAATTCAACAATCCCCACAATCCTACACATATATATTGGGGATAGGGCGTTTGACTTTCGTTTACTAAGTCCCATGTTTGTACCCATCTCTTCCTTCCTTGGTTCATGCATCCAGATAGTATCCTTAGTCATCATACTTATAGTGTCTTTCTAAACCAAGTACACAAATCTGTTTCTCGTACTGATTTTTCGAATTAGTGATCAATTTGTTGCTTTGCCCTCCTTTGTTTTTCTTTTGAATAATACAGATTCTGGGCTCCTTCAATCGTAATCTTGCTTATGGTCACCATCGATCTAATCTAACTAATACAAATGATCGGGATAAAATGCTCGCACCATATTCTTCATCAGTAAACAATCATCACCATCAAAATTGTTCTGCCCAGAGTTACGATAATGACAGTATAATGAATAAAAATAATGAAATGAATGACTCACAAACGTATTCTTTACCATTTGCTGTATTAAAATCTTATATTGCTAAGTCAGAAGAATTATGGTTCATGGTATATCAACAGATGCATCATACTGATACCATATTGAATCCAATTGTAATTGAATCATTAAACATGATATTTCAATACACTTTACCAGCTTTAATGCTTCTTGGTAAGTAAAATAATTTGAATAAAAGTGGTTTCTGGCACAACTGTTCATTTACCTTTGCTTTACTTTTGTATTGGCGCGCAAGACCAAGGGCTCTGGATTCTAGTCCCGCGTGCGGGATCGTGGATGCGCACTGCTGAGGAGTCTCATACTAGGACGGAATGGCCGTCCAATGCTTCCAGGGTTTCAATGATGGTCTAACATCGATCGTTTCATGATCTCAATTAATTTTTTATTCATTTGTCTAATAGTAAGATGTATTATTGCTGAGTTCTTATTCGCTTACTTACTAGGTATTATTATTATTAATATCTTCTTGTCTGCATTCATTCCAATTTATTTAATATTTATCGGTAATTTTATTAAGATACTCTTAGAAACTAACCTTTTTCTATCTTTCTCCACGTTTTTTCTACTGTTCAATTATGTTTATTATTCACACCATAATCGTTCTACTTTGTCTGATAAGTGGTTGGCAAACACTGAACCTTTGTTTCGTGCTGGTTGGTACTCATCAGCAAGAGTTACCTACAATCCTGATGGAGCGCATTCTCCCTCCGTAATTAGAACCCACGTTACCCAGTTTCACAGTCTGATATGTTACCACTAAGTCCATGACTGATTTCTTATAGGATTGAGAGATTTCCAATTAATTGATCAATGAGCAGTAACCAATATCATGTTTGTTCTTAGTCTTAATCGAATCAGTTGAACTAATGATCACACTGCAATTTGATCCGTAGAATCTGATCAGTGCTAAAAGATCAGACAAATAGGATATTGGCCATTGCGCAGTCTGTTTTTACTCTTGATAGTATAATTTTTATTTTGTTTTCAATGTTTTTACGATTTCGTTGGGATTAATTATTTTAACATTGAGGTTGATTAGTTACTCGCCCGTTTGTTTAAATTCAGTGTTGTTATCAGTGGGGAATAGACTGAATTAGATCATGTTTCATACAGAATTGCGTCGAAGTACTCTGATTGAGTCATTTTTTAGCTGACCGGAGCTAGTGAATAAATTGAGAAGTCCCTAGAATCTTCCTGTGTAAAACTTATGAATAGACTTACATTTTTTTATTGTATGAACTTAGTTAACATGCCGTATTGTTTTGAAGTATTATTACGTCCCTGTCCAAGCCGTGTACAGATTTGAGGATCGGTCGAGTGGAGTAGTGTCTGAGGGACACTAGGTAGTCGAAGTAACTGGATCGAGTAAGCAAGATTTAATGGTTGTTAAACAAATTATGGCCCCCAAATACCCTGGTACGGTCGAGGGTGGGGAGAGTCTGCCCTCCCTCTCGAAATGCTCTCACATGGCCACGTGTATACAGCCATTTCCACGGAAGTCCTACTCACTAACTTTTCGTGATAGGGGGTTGTTTTCGAAACTGAGAGGACGAAGAGCGAATGTCTGGCGCTTTAACTGGGTTGTTGAACACGGAGGGTCCACCTAAGGGAGTTGGAAAATCCTCATTCTAAACCAATGGTGCATATGGGCTACACGACCCTGAGGGAGAAAATGGCGTAAGAACCAATTAGTGGTCACCGGCTATCATTAGACTGCATCTCCTTACGTTGATCCACTGCCTTGTGGATCGCACCTTTAGATCGAAGGCTCCAGGTGTGATCCCCTAAGATTACCACCTGCTTCAGTCTGGGTACCCGGCAGTATCACAGCCCACACATAAATCAAGTGACTTGTGTGGCGCATATGTATTCGGTGCTCCTTTGTACTACTATTTATATGTTCAAATAAATAAAACAAATTATGGCTAAGAACTAATGAATGGATCTGTGACGTTTTTACTGATTCTATAGCGTGTCGCTCAACGCCTCCAAGCACTGGTTTGATAATCACCCAGACCTCAACCAGATAGTTTTCATTGATCAACATGCCTGAGGCCAACAGTCAGTGAATTCATGGACGGAGTCTACGTTATCATGAACAACTGGCTTCGACTATCATTCTTTAACCTACTCTTATACTTGAGATCATTGCATTTCGGAGTAGTTGATGGTGGTTGAGTACGGATAATCCTTATCCTAGCCGCTAAATCGATAGATTTTCATCCAGTTTCCTACTTTTAATTATTCCCCAACGGCTGACTCAAATACTGCTCATTCTGCTCAGAGATAATGATATCATCATGTACATTCTATTCCCATATGAAAAATCTGTACGTTAAATCGATAAATAAAACTACATTAGAGGGATTAGGACACTTATAAGTTACGACACTATTCATTTAAACAACTTAATAGATATAACGGCTTATGACCTACCTAAGCTTACATTATCCGAACTGTCAAAACATTTCTGTAAACAGAATACACCCAATGGGGGCATGAAAACAAAATACATTGGTCCTGTGAAGGGTTCTCTTTTCAGGGCAATTTCACTCTCGAAGCTTTACGATCACTAAATATGTACTTCTTTCACATTGATAATCAATAATATGTTTGGTAATAGCATTAATTTACTGATCATAGTGACAAAGAACAGTGTTGTTACTATGGTCGAAAAACTAAGAATATGCTTTTTAAAATCTTAAATGTTCATTAAGGATGTTATAGACGTTAGATAAGACTAGTAATTGTGAAAAAGGGTTATGTAACATAATATGACATTAGTGAAGTTAAAATGAAATCTAATCAAAGTGAAGTATGGAACATAAAATTTGGTTTGGGGTAAAATGGGAGGTTGATTATGAACGCGTTAACAACTTCACTTATCTTGGAAGTCTGGTCAGCCCTAATGGGTTGGTGTCTGACGAAATCTCAGCACGGATTCGAAAAGCTCGTTTGGCTTTCGCCAACTGACGTTACCTATGGGGAAGGCGAGATATCCGTCTATCAATGAAAGGACGAGTATACTTCTCGGCAGTTCGTTCTGTTTTACTTCACGACAGCGAAACATGGCCATTAAGAGTAGATACTCGTAAGCTACTGGTATTTGACCACAAATGCCTTAGAAATATTGCTCGCGTCAGCTGGAATCACCGGGTAAGTAACAGAGAGGTTAGATGCAGGGTATTAGGGAATGATTGTAAATCAGTTGATGAGGTTGTGAATCTTCATCGACTGAGATGGTTGGGTCAAGTGTTGCGTATGCCTGAACACCGATTACCACGACGTGCAATGCTAACCGGTTTTGGGGATGGTTGGGAGAAAGTTAGGGTCGGTCAAACCAAAACGTGGCACCAGTGCTTGAAGTCACTAACTTCTAGTCTTATCCATGTTGGTAGATGCAGACTGCTTGGTTGGGGTCAGTGCGACATGGTCTACAATCGATCACAATGGCGTCGGTGTGTACACTCTCTGTCTTCCCTTAAACTGAGATTAAAATCACTTCATATCTTTCTACGAACTAATTCTTTTTTTCCTGTACCATATCCTTATATGCACTCTTTCTTTTATATATTACCACCATTGACTTAAGCACTCCCATGAATCCAGTGTTCATCTTGCTGTGCTGATGCGGTATGGCAACTTAGACCGATGCATATGCGTGCCTGGTCCTACGTTGTAGCTGACTGACTGAGTAAAATGGAAGGGGTCAGTAGCAATGATAAACTAAAAGTTGAGACCATGTTTCCTTCATTGCATAATACCGGCTTTCCAAGATATATTTGTCGAAAGATTCAACGATAACAAGAATACGAAAGCTCACTGTCTTTGAAATACTTCTGATTACCTTATAAGATGATTTTGAACGTTTGATATTCTTTTTCTATCGAATGATCCGTGTTCACTAGCTCCATATAGATTCACTTCTACCTCTTTCAACCAGATCATATAGTATTTTTAAATTATATTAGACAGAATACGCATCAAACGACCTATAAAACCTGTCTTCCTTAGAAGCAGCAGATCAATTAACAAATCCGCAGAGAAATGTGATCAGAGATGCAAGAGCGTTTATTCTTTAGATGTTACTGCTAAATTTCTGACTAATTAATAATTTATTTATTTATTGCTAACTAATCTCCATCACACACATTTTCTCTCCTATTTTTGTACTTTTTTCTAGAACATTTAGTTCCAGATAGGTATACACATTGTTTTACTCCTAATGAACAACATGAAAAACAAATACAACTATCTATGAAAAAACCAATTTGCCCATACTGTTGTTCTTCATGTGATCTAATAAAAGACTCATTAGATCGTTGCTGTTTAAGTGATACATTATTTATTGTAAGTTGTCTATTTTCTGCTGCCTTTATTTCTTATCCGGAAGCAATTCAACGAACTAATCTTATCACCACTTCAAATCACCATTATCAACAAGATAAAAAGAAGGATTCGGAATTATTAACTCCTTCAGTTGATACGTTTATCATGCAATCAGCTTGTGAACAAAGTAAAATGCAAATGCAAATCTATTTGAATACTGTTTTATCTGGTCCAGTTAAATTATCGAAAAAATTATCATCTAGTATTGAAAAAGTGAGTACACACGTTATCATGTTTTATATATATTCTTTCCTGTTATCTCTTCAATCGGTTTTACTTCTTTCGATTAAACAAAAAAATTATTATCAGTATATGGATTTGTGGAGATTGTAGTGTTTTCACCGTTGAATTCACGGGTCGATCAAAGCTGGACTACCCCATACTAATAATAATCATGTGCTCACCTCAGACAGGAGATGAAGGGTTGTGCAAGATCATGGATCGATTGGAGTTAGACATTAACACCGTTGGGTACCTGTACAGTGGTCTGGAGGTTAAGCGTCCTCACGCGAAACGGAAGGTTCTGCGTGCGTGATCGTGGATGCACAATTGTAGGACGAAACGACCGTTCAATGCTTCCAGGTTTTCTATGGTGGTCTATCCTAAATCGACTCATGAATTCAACTATTAAGTTATAGATAGCTTCAGTTATTCGAAGTGAGACCTTTAATAAAAATTATACAGTGCTCCTCCCATTATATAAATAAGAAAGTGATCGGAACTGTTAGATACGATAACCTTAGTGAATATAAAAAATGTTGCAAATAACTACAGCTTAATTTGCTGTAAGTCACGTTTACAAGTTCACAAATATTTCTTCCAATAGACTTTCAGTTCTACAAAATAACTTGAAAAAAAAGCACGTATTACAAAAGTGTTTACATTTTGTTACAGATCATGTGATATCAATCTACAGATAAGAATCATAAACATTGTATAAACGACCTGGTTTTTATTAAGATACAAACAAACTAGAATTAAGTGTTCCCATATCTGCTTACGATTCATTATTATTTACACTTCGTATATATACGTATGCCTATGTTTATACAATAGTCAATTTAAGGTTACATTAAGCTTACAACTAACCCTTCCAACCAATGATACTTAAGTTGTTTTCCGATAGATATACTGAAAGGTTGTTTAATATTCGACTAAACTCACAATATATACGATAAAAGCGGAGAGTAAAAAAATAAATAAATTTTTTTCTTGCTTAAAAAATTTCAACATTTATGCATTCCTAAAAGAAATCATCTTTCTTACAATTGGTCATGTTATTGAATACTTATTTATTGATTTCCAGCTTTTTTATATGTTACGAAGGGAAAAAAGTGAAAACACTAAGATTTAATTACAGTTGTGATAGCTTAAATGGTTACAACTTTCAATAATGTCATGAACTAGAACCTCGCTTTGTCTGCTTAGCTACAAACCGCACTCAAAATATGATGCTAGGTAATACTATCCATTTTTCCATACGGAAGTAGGTAGAGTGTGTTTCAAACATGTGATCTAGTGATTGAAGGTCAGGCACCCTAACCACTAAGTCATTGTTCCACTGGCAGGTTCCTCAAAAACTGTGTACTAGGCTCCAAATCTAGTACATAAAACTTTACTTGATCAATGTGTTGCGTTATTGTATTACTTTGCGCAGTCATATATATATATATATATATATGTTCGCAGGCACACAGAAAGTTTTATTGTTAATACGTCTAGAAAATTAATGAATGTATTTATCGTTAAATCTTCATACCATTAACACCAAGCTACTACAGTAGAAGTCAGTAATATATAAGTTTATTGTCTGAAAATATTTTTTGGTTACGCTTCCATTATTATTCGCGTGAAATAGTTATTGGTTTTAACTTTATAGAGTTGTACACTGATTTAAATACTGTGCTAGTTTGCAGAAGGTATTCGGAAGGTAACTGTGGAGTTAGGTTTCGTGTTAGTTGTCACATGGTAGCCAGGTGTACCTCCGATCTGAGTTACTGAGTGGGACAAAAATGACATTGATAATCAGTGACCAATCAGTTGCGACCATGGTTACTACTCATACCCATTGTTGACATATGATATGTAGTAATTGTTTCTCTTTTTGGTTGCATTGGCTAGTAACTAAAGCACTTGGATTTAATTATCTGAATAATAGTTTGTAATGCACCACTGCTTCAACCAATTACTTTGGTTTAATCAACTCTATAATACCTCTAGCCTTTAGGTATCTTCTGGAGATTTAGAGTACCAATCTACATGTGGGAAATTAGTTACTTGTTCATCCTTAACAAATAATGGATAATAATAGTATTTCTTACTGTCAATAGTGTAGTAAAAATAAAACGTAGATTTTAGTTTGAAAGTCATCAGTTTCAGGTTTATGTATTCATTTATTTATTTTAACATATAAATATTGGTACATAGGGGCACCAGATATATGTGCGCCGCACAATAATAATCAGAAAGTGAAGATATAAAGAATGTAAGGTGCGTATAAGAAAGAAGTACAACAATGAACGGAAATTGGTGTTTGATAGTAAAATAACAACAATGGGAAGGACAGTTCAATTAGCAAAAGTACAACCACAGAGAATTCTTCCACTTAAAGAGGTTACGTTTTTTTATGAAGTAAAATAAAGTTACATCAGGATCGCCACTGGCTTCTATTCTGAGCCATATCTGATAACGTCTCTAGCCACTGTGTTGCACCATCCCTCCGACCCCAGTCAGGGAGTCGAGAAGGACCAACAGAAGCCAGTCCTTTGCAGCTTTCTTTCATACCACGACACCATGTCATACGCTGACCACCTCTACGCTTTTTCCAACCAGTCCCAGTATCGGCAAATAATGCGCGACATGGAATTCGCTTGGACGACATTCGTAGAACATGTACAAGCCACCGAAGTCGATGTTTGAAGATGGTGACACCAATTGAATTATCGTCGCTGTGTCCGAACACACGATGTTGAACCTCTGCATTATTAAAATGGTGTTACCACTGGATGTCAGCAATCGTTCAGAGACAACGATGATCGAACACGGAGAGTCATCTAACATGCTGAACTCGGATAGGCCAGATTTCACAAGTATAGAGCAGAACTGCTCTCACCGACGCGTTGTAGATCCAACCTTTTACAGCGAGACTGACATAAGGAAGGCGCCAAAGATGGTGCAGATTGGCATAAGCCTCTCTGGCTTTGATTATACGTGAATCGATCTCATGACTCACGCCACCACCAGCACTTATGCAGCTACCTAGATACACGAACTTCTCGACTACTTCTATCTGCTCACCACCCAGGGTGAGTACAGGACTATAATTCTGCCAGTCTTGTAGAAGTACTTTTCACTTGGAAGGTGGAAAGCGCATACTGTAGCTACGGACACTGATTGCCAACAGATTAAGTGTGGATTGCATGGTTTGGGTATTATCGCGCAGCAAGACAATATCATCCTCATACTGGAGGTGGAGAAGTCTTTCTCTATGCAACAGATCCACACCGCCATTCCTTACATCCATCAGAGCTGTTTCCAGAACGTCGTCGATAGCGAAGTTGAAGAGGAATGGTGAGATTGGGCAACCTTGTCTAAACTCACTGCTTGAATGGAACTATGGAGAGATTTGGACCATAATTTTTTTGAATGAAAAAAGATACAATTCGAGTATTTCTAGACTAAAGTATGGAAAATGAAATTGAACTGTTTAATGCTATCATTGAATATCGAACGCTTTAACCAATAATCCATCACTGCATAGAAAAAAGTTTACATTTTAATAATTAATATAAATACACATACAAAAAATACACCTTGAACTTAAATTAACTTAGTTTTGTTATTAATTGTCTTTCATGCGTATACTTGTCGGTTATTTTACTCGTCTCATTTGTTTTTCTCGCTCATTTCATTCAGTTTTCTGACGATGATTCTTCTGGTATTTTAACAAAATATACTAATTGGTTCAATGCTCTAAATTTAGCCGCTTGTTGTTTACAACGTGTATTTCTTCAATCGACAAATACTATTAATCGTCAACAGCGCCAACATCATTCACGTAGATCGAACTCGTCAATGATGACGATGATGAAACAACGAGCTAATAAATTTGAATCTTCTCATGATTTAAAAGCGTATATGAATAAATTAAAAATTACCAATGACTGGTGGTCAGTATTAATGAACATGTTTGTATGCTGTTTACGTAGTATGTGGTTGGACTGTGTTAGTGATAATCAAGTAAGTACTAGGTGGTTATTTTTCTTCATAACCAATAATATTATTCACTAGTAAGCAAACAACCAATAAAAAATGGATTTAAACTTCACCCCATTGCACAAGTCAGTGGTTAACAGAACTAAGTGGATAACGCGATGGCGTTTGAAGCGGACGATACTGGGCTCTCGAGTCCCAAAGTGAACATCAACTCTGGAATTCAAGTATATCCAGTTGATGACTGACTCCCAAACAGGATGAAACGCCTACCCTGGATTCCACTGCCAGCCACTATTCGCCTCTGTTAATAATACATTTGACGTACTGGCAATATCGAGGTAATCCGCACAGGATGCATATATACCAATAAGAAACTAATCAATTGCAGTCTTATATTTAAATAGGAAGATGGATTTCGATTTGTTTGTTTTCTTTTCTAATTGTAAATATTTCAAGTAGTTAAGCGACAAAAATAACTAAGGAAAAAGTATTACAGTAAAAGCAAAGACAATAACAATACTTAAACCCAAAACATACACCCTTATAAAATGTAAAGAGAGCATACACACATATACTACACAGGCACATGTCGACTGTTGTTTACACGTGATACTGAACATTGATGTTGGCTATTATGTCTTTTTTTCGATTAGTTATATTCATTTGTGCGAAGTATTACTGTGTTTGTGTGTGTATATGTGTTTGCACATGTGATCACTCTCTCTAGCTAAGTAGCGGTAAACAATTTTCTTTGTTCATACATTTAATATATTTATAATTTATTTATTTATTTTTACCTTTCTAAAAGCAGAATTTTTAAGTCTTTTTCTGCAAATTTAATATGATTTTGATGATAGTAAAAGTTTGTAAGTTCTTATTAGTGGTGTTGTTGATATTCAACAATGCAATTTATAATCAGTCTTTGACGTTATATGGGCTTTTGAAACGGATCACCTTGATGATGATAGCCTTCGATCACAAGTGTTTTTAGTATATTGGTATATGGGACAATAGTAATGTAATCCAGAACACATGTGTCATCCTATTTGAGACCTGTCAGCTGGATGTACCTGCCTCATCTCAATGTTAGTGTAAACATTCGAACTCGAACCCAGTACACTTCAGACATTAGGGCGTTATTCACTGAGCTACTGAGTCTAGGTAGCCATTAAACTGTTCAACGGATATGATGTTTATACTATCATTAGAAAGCCTATAAATTATCCAGTTGTTGACATTCAAGGTTGTAGTCGATATATACTGCTTGAATTCAAGCACCACACATTTTATCTTCATTTAGTGTCATATGAAGATCGCATGGAAGTGATCCCTAGAAATTTCAGAGCTTTAATCTAAAACAAATAAGAACTTTCAAAAAGTTACTAATATTGGTATACTACATATTTTGAATTACTATGAGAACAAAACAAATGTCCAGTAATCAACGATTACTAATGGTGTACTGTAGCTCTCATGATGTGCTGTGCCCGAGTTCAGTACTGATATACAAAACTTCCTGTATGCAAGCGCCCATGCAACTACTGAGTGAGGAAACTAAAATTGAAGGAGGAAGTTTATTGGGTTTAACCGAATCAAATACATAAAGACTCATTAGTTTTTATGTACATATGCATATATGTACTCCTTGAAAAATTAAACCCTTTATTGGCCAGTAAGGTTCACTTGTCTTTAGTTCAACGTGGCGTTCTCATTTTTGCGTCTTTTGATTGGCTCACTGTACTATCAACTGAGATCAAGATGCAATGAATATAACCTACAGGTTAAATCAACCTCTACGAAATCTATTCAATTAAAACAATAATAATCAGTTCACTAATGATTTACTTAATTATATTTTTTGATACCAATCCATGACCGGTAAAGTTCAGATATGTCAAAAGTGAAATAGTTGTCACAAATAACATTAAATGATCGTTAATTGATTGAAGCTGAGACTTTATCATTAGATCCTAACTTAATGGTTCTATTAGTTAACGATCGCTATATGACCTGGTAGTTCTATATTTTATCCCTGACTAGTTTATAGGTGTGTATTGTCGATGAGTTTCATACTAGGGCGAGACACATGTCCAAATTCCTTCGGTTTTCAGTAGTACTCGAGATAAAATGAACCTGTGACAAACACTACATGAAAATCAAAACAATAAGTTTTAGAATTTTTGTTAAAAAGCATGGTCAGATTTGCAATCGAAATCCAAGATTATCATAAACGATCAACTAGAACTGACTATAAAAGCCGTGGTTTAAAACAATAATAATAAAACAGCACTCAAAAATTAAATTGAGAACTCTTTACAGCCAAATTGCAACAAATTAATTAGTTTAACTTTGTTGCTAACCAAGGTCATTTGTAATAGGTTAGAATAAATAGTCGTAATGAATAATATATGTACAACAGTGTGGAAGGGTTATTTTCAAACGAAAACTTGCTTTGGTGAGTGGCAACTCTGATTTCTTGGTAAATTAGTAGAGCCCTTATTTAATAGGCCACATGCTGTTGTAAACTTTTATCAAATGAGGTGGTTGGTACATGTGTTCTTTATCCCCTAACACCGCCGATGTTTTATCTGGTTTAGGAGTAGGATGAAAGAAAGTTAGAGGTGGCCAAACAAAAACATTTAATCAATCTATAAAGCCACTAACAAATGAACGATCCAGGTGTGGACTACTTGGTTGGGGTTCGTGTGCTTATCGTAACCAATGGTCAAACTTTGAATAAAATGGTTCAAAATCGTTCGCTCTGTTGCAGATGCATCCATTCTTTGCCTTCGGATGGTTGTTGGAGGTAGTCAACAGGAAACCCTGAACTCGGGTTTCGTGCTACTTGGCACTCGACAGCAAAGTGTACCTGTAATCTTAAGGGAATTGGTGCTGCCTGACGAGTTCGTTCCCGTGTCACCCATCTTCACAGTCAGAGACGTTACCACTGAACTATCTGGGTCGCGACCAACCTCCTGTAGAACTGAGATGTAAGCACAATTGAATGATCACTGGTGGTGATCAATGTCATGTGTGTCAAGTCCTTCTTAGTGCATATCGAATGCTATCTGACTATGAAGCTGGGCGACGCGAGATCGAATCCGTCAGGGGGCACCAGTTCCCTCAAGATTACAGGTACACCTTGCTGACAAGTGCCAAGTAGCACGAAACCCGAGTCCAGGCTTTCCTATTGACTACCCCCAACCACCATCTAATCTCAACATAGTGCACGCAATGTCGAGTCGCTTAGACTAGTGGCCACATTGCAACTTGGCCGATAACATTTTATCTGCACTAAGACTTGACACACATGACATTGATCACCACCGAGTGATCAGTCAATCGTGATTCTTTGTCTTCGCCCAGATGCTAAGCTTCTAATTTTATTAATTTTTTTCATTTCACTAATTCATATTTTCTTAAATCGTATCTTCGATGCTTAATGCTTCCTTATGTATTTAAATACATAAAGATTGGTTCGAGGTACCAAATACATATGCTCCACACAAATCATTCGATATGTATTAGGGCTGGAATACTGCCCGGGCACCCAAACCGGAGTAAGTAGTTTTCTTAGGGAATCACTCCCCGAGCCTTTGACCTACAGATCTAATCCACAAGACAGTGGAGCAACGTTAGAAGATTCAGTCCCGTGGTAGCCGATGATCAACAGTAGGTTCATACACTACTTGTTCCCTCAGGATCCTGGAGCTTATTTGTGTTACTAGTTCGGAATCACAATTTTCCAACTTTCCCAGGTATATCCACCGTACCCACCAACTCGGTTTAAGTGCCAGACATTTGCTTTTCATTTTCTGAATTTCGTAAACACCACCCCTTCCATGAGAAGACATTGAATAGGAATGAGTAGGACACTGATACTATGACTGCCTCTTTTACTCTGGTATTTAACGTAACAATTTCATACCTGTGCTAATGGGATATGCCAACTTGGACCGATGTATATACGGACTAGATTCTACATTGCGACTGAATGATATACAGTCTTAAATAACTTAACATATACATTTACATTCAAATCGACCAATATCATTCTTTGTTACATGCAATAGATCTATTAAAGTAATCCAAAGGAATAGGCCTTTTTCATGTTATTCATTTTGAAATCTTTCCTATAAAATATTTTTTATTTATCATCTTTATTCTTTATCCTTTTCTTTTTTTTCTCCTGCTCTACTTTCGTCTATCTATTCACAATTACAAACAAAATATAGGATGAGATCATTCATTTAAACTTCAATAAATTCTTAGATCAATATCTAAATATTCTATTATGTAATCCATTTGATTCTTCATGTAGTACTGCTACTACATCTACTGATATTGTTGATGTAACAAATAATAATAATAATAATAGTAGTATAAGTATGGTATCATATCAGTTGATTGATACAAATGAATTTCAATTATACAAACTATTGGCATTATGTTCTCAGTCATCATCATCATCATCATCTTCAACATCATTGTTACCATGGGCGAATAAATTAAGTTCATTGAAAAAATGGCGATCTAATGAAGATCATTTATTACCTAATGAAACATTATATTTTAATCAACAATATTATTCTAAAACATCCATTTTAAATAATATGCAAAATTATAAAAAATTTCAATTTTCATTAACTACAGTTTGTTTAGCTCGATCTATTGAAACATTATTACATTATCAATTATGTATAAATCATAATGAAATACCATCCATACAAATATGTTTAGATTTATTACTTACAACTAATGAATATTTATCAATTTGTTTAGAAGAATTCAAAACTATTCAGGTAAATTTTTTTCTATGTTACACTTATTTTATATGATACAATTACATTTTTATTGGTAAATATTACTAAAGAGTCCCACAATAGGATGAAACAGCCATCTAGTGCTTCCAGATTTCCCATGATGGTCTAGCTTTAATTGATTCATAATCTCAACCATTGAAATATACTTGTCATTTAACAGTTGAATTCACAAGTTGATCTAAGTTAGAATACATTTGAAAACCTGGAAGCATTAGACGGCCATTTCGTCCTAGTATGAGATTCTTTAACAGTGCGTATCCACGGTCCCGTTCGTGGGACTTGAATCCGGAAACTTCGATCTGGTGCACGAACGCTTAACCTTTAGATCACTGAGCTGAAATCCAGTGGTGTTAATGAGATGTCGGCTCAGTGATCTAGAGACTATGAGTTCATTCTGTGTTTGATTCCTGCAAGCGGGACCACGGATGCGTCTCATGCTAGGACGAAACGGTCGTCCAATGCTTTCAGGTTTTCAACGGTATTCTTGCTTAGATCGACTTGTGAATTCAACTGTTAAAATACTACAATCTCAACAAATCCCCATACTGATAAATATACTTTTATTTACCCTTTTAAGGTGCATTATTGTTTTTTTTTTGAGAGAGAGTGTGGAGAGCAGCATGTATGGGAAAATTGAGAAGAGAGGGAAAACATGAGTTGATGACTTATTTAGTTCATAAAATGCATTTTTCGTCTAACAATGAAAACAATCGATTGCAGTAAGCAATGATACAAGAACACGACTAAAAGTATATAACAGTTGAAACTAAAAATGAATAAAATCATAGATACGTTACACGTTCAAGTGAGAAATTATGATTAGTGGGGTTCAACCATTTCACGGATAAGGTAGTAGTACCCAATCACTTTAAATCAACATTACATTGAATAAATGAATCTTTAAAATGTTGACCATTAGATTGTTGCTTAGTATGTAATTTTAGGTTCTAGATCGTAGATGCACATTGTTGGAGAATCTCAAACTAGGACAAAACATCTGTCTAATCCTTTTTGGTTTACCATAGTTCCTCATAACTCAGAATCACCTCACTAACAATGATGCCGATGCATTCATTCTTTGTCTACCTCTAGATCTCGCACTCCACAAATATATGACAGAACTATTCTTCAAATCTATTCTTTCTCCTCGAATCCTATTCTCTATACCTAGATTTTTTGCTCAATATCACTAATACTATTGCTGCTTCTGCCACATTGCTATTCATCTCTCTGTGTTAATATCGCTTAGTAACTTGGATTGATGCATATATCTACCAGGTTCTATTTTACTTTTGACTAAGTGATTAATAGCTTCCTGAATAATGTCAGTTTACAATAAAAACTACCTTATAATCGAAAATAATTTACATATATTATTAAACTGAAGTCGGAAGTGTAGACTATGTTTTCTTATATATATAGAATCTGTCTAAAAAGTATCCTTCTTTCCAAGTTGTCATGATTCAGTTTTTATTATTTTGTGTCTATACCACAATTTGTATAGCTTCTCCCACTCCAAGTTCATAGGCAAGTACAGATAGTTATCTTGATCAACTCATTGTTTATGCCGATGTAATAATGAAACAAAAACAGATGTTAAAAATATTTTTTATACTCAATTCGTTTCTTATTAATCTTGCAAATGTTGTGCAGTAGTTTTTAGTATACTTTTCTCGTCTAATAATTTAGTTTCATCTTCGTGAAATATTTTACGCAATGATTACATCATCTCTTCATTTCACTAAACAGATCCATAGTTTGGTATAATTTCTAAAATATTAAATCCTGTCTCTTAACCTTGACATTAGTTATATACATTCTATCTATTATTACATGTAAAGCGTGTAGAGAAGTCATCGGAGAACAATCATATGAAGCATTTCCATCTCTGTTTATCTGCCCATAATTTTTAATCTTGATGGGCGATCAGATATCCTTATGCTGTGAGTAGTACAAGTTAATAAGTGTAAACCATTGTTTCATAAGTGTACATGATTTGATTGTATTTCCTTAGTTAAAGATGAATCTTACTTTTTATTTCGAATTATTAATGGGAATTTTCAAACTATTATTACTGTAGTGAACGAGATTTCAGATGGGGAAAACTAATTTATTGTTTGATGCAAAATTACACAATGGCTTAGTAAAATATGAAAATCATGCATTAAATACGTCATTTGCATATCTTCTTTGCGTTGTTGTTTACATACTTCATAGTTCTTCCAATTCTGTTATTATTGCAATTATTTACTGTTCTCTTCAATTCCATCTTCTGCTACCAGACATTCCACTTCCAATTGTGGCCACATACTACTTATATATGCTAGCATAAATAGCATACACCACATTACTACTACAAATTTTGTGGAAATTTTTATTAATACTATCAGTATTTTTTCCCTTGTCAGTTTTAAAAAACATGTAACCTAGGTTTCTACATTATGTATCAGCACGGCCAGAGAGAGACCGTAAAAAAACTATTTTTAAAGGATATATAAAACGATTAGTTCACCAAAGGAATCCTTTTCCAAAGAGCTCATTTTCGAACCTCTGGATCTATTTATATGTATTTGAAATTAAAAACTTATAAAGAATTATATGCTTACGAGTCATATTTATCACAAACTGATCTTAGTTGGGGTATCCCAAAAAAATCAGAGAGCACTAGACAGTTGTCTCCTCCTAGTTTGGGATCTGAAGGTTTTGGGGTTGATTTTTGGAGAGGTTGTGGATGCGCACTACTACGGATTACTATACTAGAGCAATACTGTTCCCTAGTTTTCTATAGTATCTCAACTGAGATTGATTTGACGAATACGAATTAAAATCTTAGTATATATATATATATATATATATATATATATATATATATATATATTGCTCGATTCTACCTCATTTATTACAAGTATATTTACTCAGCTTTTAATAATATCACCGTTACGCTCTTCTTTGTTTCTCCTAACAGGGTGATAAATTGGAATACTTAGACATAGTTAATAATGTATTAAAACAAGTTTTACGTTATCTCCCATCGGATCTCACTCCTTATTCAATTACATCATCGTCAACTACTAGTTCACCCACGACTACAGAAAATGATAGCACCAACAACAACAACACAGCTGTCAATAAAGATATTTTGCGAATTTTTGTTAATTTACGTTTACACCAGTTAAACGTTATGCTTTTACGACATCATCATGGTGTAACATTTAAACGTGGCAAATCACAAACTCCTGCTTGGTTTACAATGATTACACAAGCTAGAACTACATTAGATTGGCATGCTTCTTATTTAGCTAGTAATACTAATATTATCACTTCTAAGGGGGAAGATAAACACTTGAACATTGATTTACAAGATGTGATTTTACATGTGACTTTGTTAAGTCATCTTGTCAGTTTGCAGACAGTAAATCAAGGTAAGTTTTACCCATATTAAATTCAAATTTGTTTATTTGCTTTTTTAAAGGTAGGTAGTTTATAATAGGATGAATAATCTCTAAATATTAATTAGTAATGAAGTTCTGTTTTTAATCTAAACTAATTCATATTGATTAGTCAATTTTGTATGATATATTTTCGGGATTAGTAGTAACTAGTATTCTACTTTCCATACAATGGCTAAGAAGAACATATTGTGCCCGCAGTGTCGAGACACCTAGACTGGTGGCCACATTGCAACATGATCGATAGCATTCGATCTGCACTAATAAGGACTAGACACGCATGACATTGATCGCCACCCAGTGATCAATCAATTGTGATTACATCTCAGTCCTACAGTAGGTCGGTCACGGCTTGGATAGCTCAGTGGTAATGTCTCTGACTGTGAAGCTGGGTGACACGAGATCGAATCCGCCAGGGAGCACCAGTTCCCTCAAGATTACAGGCACACCATGCTGACGAGTACCAAGTAGCACGAAACCCGTATCCAGGGCTTCCTGTCGACTACCTCCCACCACCATCTAATCTTAATTTATAGTGCCCGCAGTGTCGAGTCACCTAGACTGGTGGCCACATTGCAACATGATCGATAGCATTCGATCTGCACTAATAAGGACTAGACACACATGACATTGATCGCCACCCAGTGATCAATCAAGTGTGATACCGAAACTTATTTAACAGTTCACCTTTGTTAATTTATGTTGTTTTAGACATCCGTTATTGAATAATAAAACCCGTTTTCTAACCTGATTATGTTAGCTCATTCAAGTATTTAGTTCTGATTGAAGTCTAATATGTTTCTTGGTTTTTAATTTAATCTGTTTTATTGTACAGTGGTCAAATTAGTGTTGAAGGCCAATTATATATTTATTGAGATTGTTGTTACGTTTGGTGATGTTGAGTTTTCTAAGCTAGACAATTTAATTACACAGCATTTATTGTTGTTCTGGACAACATCTTACTTCATGGAGAAGTGAACTTTTTAAGTTATTCCACCAGTCTTAAAACAGTTTGTCCTGGTGGTCTTGATTGTGTGTTAGTAATTATTCTCGTAGATTTCATTATATTCAACTGCCTTTCTGTACAAGTTGACTTTTGACCAAGTTATCATCTTTTCCAAATGGATTAGTAGAGCAGGTATAAATTGATTTGTTCACTGATTGCTAATTGACTTGAATGCTATTCTTCCAGAAATGCTGTGACATACTTGGGATTCTCATGATCCAGAATTTCAACGTTCTTCTAGTCCAATCCATCTTTGTAATTTTCTATATTTACTGATATCAGTGTCCTTCCACTGATAGTTTGTGTTCATGTGTGGATAGGAAAAGGGGATCCACTTTGTTTAACGTAGTATTTATCACAGTCGATGTAATTTATTTTGTAGACAATACTGAATCTTTCTTCTGTCACTGTTGTATCTTATGGTCTATATAAAATAGAGCAGAGTGATTGTGTTGCTTCATGATCGATATTGATTTTAAAGGGTTTCCAAATCCTTGTGGTGATTCCTAAGGTGTTTTTCACATTTAGAAGGATCATCCATTTTCTAATTCTTAAGATTCATTCTATGATGGTGGATTTATTCCTCAGACACTTTAATTTTCTATATTAGCCAGTTTTACAACAACAAAAAAAAAACAGACAAACAGATAAGTTTCTTCCATTTTTTTTATCTCCTGTATATCTCTAATCAATCACTCAAGAATAGTTTCAATATAGCAAATTTCCAGTTTAAAATATTTACATATCACCATCATTCATATACACTTATCCTTTGTTCACTGAATCCTTTATCGAAAATCCATATTTTATTCTACCATTTTTTCTTGTTTCTAGATGTATTATCTATATTCGGTATTCAAGCTATTCTTCGAGATATTTGTAGAATTCATCCTATCCTAAAATTATTGACTAGTTCTTCTGATTATTTCACAACAAATCCATTATATTCTAATCTACAAGGTCCTTTAAATTCAATTTCAAACAATTTAACTAAATTATGCGATACACTAGCTAGAAAATCACAAACTAAACGTGAAAATAAATCTGACTTCAAATTAACTAACAGTCAACATGTCAAAAAAACTAAACAAAAGAATAGTGGTAGTAACAACAATCGACTAACAGAACAAAACATCCCAGAAACTAATGATTATTATCATGAAAACTTTTCTTCAGAATTTTTATTATTGTCGAACATAAAAAAACAGCAACAACAACAACAGGATAATTTTTTAACAACAAAACAAACTATCAATGAAGCAAACAATTCACCATCACTACAACCATCATGTCAAGCATTCAATAATCACTGTCAAGTTCTACAATGTCAAATTGAACATTTAACAAAGTATTTAAGTGAATTATGAGAAATAAAAGCACCCAAAGAAAAAGAAGAGTAAATAACTATCCTACTCATATATTTATTTTTTTATTCACACTACCTAAGCTTTCTGTCCTCCTGTTTCATATGTAGAAATTTTATTCATTCCCTCTTGTATTTAACATAGATATTTCTCATTTTCATTTGTATAATACACGATTATTATTATTATTGTCTTTATAGCCTTCATATTCTTTGAAAGTAACTTTGTTTGCGTTTTACACTTTGCATAAACTAATTCAAGATGAATGTATTTTTGATTATTTACGGAGGGGGGAGTTGAATGTGTTGAAACACATTCTTAAATCGATATAAACTTCCACTACTTTCAAGATGTATAATCGGATAACCTTGGGGGTTTCTTTAGTTGTGAAGTCTTTTAAATACATTCACAATTAACAAATTTGATTGAAATCATGAATCGATTAATGTTAGACTAACATTGAAAACCTGGAAGCACTGGATGACCATTTCGTCGATTCATTATCTTAATCAAATACTTAACAATCTCCATAACTCCATACTGATAACTACCATGTGCTCACTAGTGACTGGCTTCGTAAGGAATTTCTCGAAGTTATAGTAAGAAGCATTCACAGTTAAATTGTTATAGAGAATCTTGTCTTTTTATTCAAACGCTAGACTATAATTCTTGTGGAGTAAAAACTTTGTTAAGTGTTGAAAACAGGTTGATCAAATACTGTCCATTGTTCTACATTGTTTTGTACTTCATGTTTTAAAACGATATAGTTATCCGTCATGTAACTATTAAAGTGGAAATAACATTTTTTGCAATTCAAAACAAAAACATAATAATTAGTCAATATCATTTTACTCTGACTATGGTACTAATATGCAAGGTTCAGTTTCGTGTATTCGGCTTTCAGCCACAGTTTGTTGGAATGCTGGTGATACTTTTCAGCTGTTCAAATTAGAGTAGGTAGAACGAGACTCGAACTTGTGACTTAGTGATTGAAAGTCGACTGTCGTAACTACTAAGTCACTACTCTAAAGTATCTTTGTAGCTGCTATGTTCAATCAATGGGTGCGTCCAAATATAAACGACACGATGATATAAACAATGAAAAGTTTCACCAACTGTTGTAACGGGTGACTGCAGGGTTTGATAAGCAGTGTTTAATTGATCGATTTGGTGACAGTGACACGGAAAACACGTAAGGACGACCTAGTGCCCTGATTGGTCCCACTTCCCTGTCTGTCCTAGCCAGTGGAGTCAAGAACACAAGTCACAGCCTCTGAGTTATGAATCATTGTATTTCAGACATACTCTATATACCAAACAAACAAACCACGTCGTACCATAAAATAGAGAACAATATTTGACAAGTGAAATAAACATCGACCAATAGGAAATGTACGTTTAAGGTCCAAGGCCACCGTAGACTTAACACGATAATTATTGGTATATTTTTCCGGCTATCCCAACACCAACTAAAGCAGTAACTAAAATGTACGAATACAGATGGTGAATTTTTATGCAATGTTTTTTTCACTATTCTTAGTGAAATGTGTCTCAGCCAAACACATAAATCTAAGCGTGTGCGATTGCGTTGTTTTTTTTTGAGACCAGGTTCATTTGAAATACGCTTTTAGTTCCAGGAAAGATGATGCATACCAACGTTCAGATGAAGTACAACCCAACAGCACTTGATGAGGTTTCTGTCGGATCGGCAAACATAATGATATGTTCAATGTTCAAGAGATAAAAACACAACTAATGGTACGGAAAGCTAAACACTGAGCAACAGCTCTTACCTCATGTTTGATAAAATAAACTTCAAAGCGAATAGGACAGCCAACTAAGACTACGTATATGACAAAAAGGCCCCCTCTCCATGCTTATCCAATTATCACTACACATTCTTGGGTTCTTATCTGATAACATTCAGTTGAAGTGAACCTATCGGTGCTGCAATTAGAGAACCATAATGATCAAATGGTCCCCTGGAGGGGATATTTGTGGATCCACCTCCTCTTTTAGGTTCTTGAAATATAACTTCATATATATCCATATTCATGTTGAGAGTTAACAGGGACACCTGAGAAAAAGACCTATTATTTCTGAACACCAGCAAATCAATCAGTCCCAGCTGGGTAACGTGCTAGTAGAACTGACTCAGTAACATGTGTTACTACAGCAGTGGATTATACTTTTAAGAGCTTGGAAAAACTTCCCCTTCTACTGTAAATTATGGATCGCAGAAATAAAAATACTACGGAAAACTATGCGTTTTCTTTCCACGTGTCCAACTATTAAAATCAGATAGATAAAATCCAAGTTGTTCCTTCTGTATTTTTAGGACTGGTCTAAGTCAACCTCTGAACTGATGGTAGGGAGCGAAGCGAGCGTGTCGACCACTCCACTTATCGCAAAAGTTCAGAAAGCTCGTTTGGTTTTTATAAACCCGCGTCATCTGTGGCACAGATAGGATGTCGGTCTGCCAACCAAAAGACGAGTTTACTGTATAGCGACTCTCCTTGTCCTGCTTTGAGTTTGAAATGTGGTCATTAAGAGGAGAGGATAATTTGCAGGCTGTGTTACACGATAAATGCCTCAGAACCATTGCTCATGTACTTTAGAACCACTGAGTGAACAACTCTTAGGAATAAGGTACCAAATAAAGATGGCAAATCGACTGAGGCGGTTGGGACATGTAAAACAAGTACCTAACGGCCGCCTACCTCAAAAGGCGATGTTTGTTAGTGTAGGAGTACACTACAAAGCTAGGTGTGGTTAAACTAGGACCTGGCGTTAGTTCATGAAGCCACTAACACTCGGATCGAGCCATGTAAGTACATAGTACCCGGTTGATGGTCCGCATGATGATCGTAACCTATCGTTAGACTTTGGATGACATGGCTCACAATCGTTTGCAATGGCTAAGATGCACTCACTCTTCCCTTGTAGTGGACGCTACTCGCAAGATTGTTTGTAAGTAGTGTATGTCAGGACGTAGCGTCGAAGTTGCAAAATTTGTTAGACGGAGTGAAGAGTTTTAGTACATCGAAAGCACGAAAGATCAGACGAGAAATCCGTTTAGACTTCAGAACACACCGATGGATGATTGAAGGCTATGTATTATGTAAATGCTTTGTAACTTATAATAAACATACAATCCCTCAGTCCATTGACGTGTTCTTGAGAATAGAAATCTCCTTGTCTCTCTTTGTTTTCACTTAACATTTCTTACTACCACTAATGATGTTACTACTACTATTACTCTAGGATTTGTCTCGCCATGCGGATGTGGTGTGGCAATTTAGGATGACGCACGTGTCATATTCTATGTTGCACATAACTGACAGATTTCCATTCAATGGTACTTTTATTTTATTTATGATATAATCTCATGTAGTTGGCTTCGGGCAATACAAACAGGCATAATGAACGCGGGGTTTAGTACAAATGTGCTTTAAATAAAGTTCTTATATCATTTTAGCACGACGAGATGAAATTAACAATATATATATAATGAGGAAGATTAAATATTGGGAGTGTAGTTTCAAAAGATGGGATGAAAAGATGTGTGAAGAAATACTGGAATTCAATGTCTGTAAGATTGAATGCATTTACGCCACTGTGACCGATTTCGAGCCACGTCATAAATTGATAACTAACTCTCATTCAACCTACTCCAATACTACTAAACGTCGGGTACCGATATAGGTAATCATTAGTCATACATAATAATATACGGATCCTCAAACCAAAGTAGGTGGAGAAAGGGATTGAAACCTAGTTCATCTGAAGGATAAGTGCTTTAATCATTTAGTTAGTGTGTGATATGCAAGACGTGCCAGTTTACTATCGTAATTTTGGTAAGCCGATAAGTTTATAAATTAAGTTGTCAATAAAAACTTGAACAAAAAACACAACGATCTGTAAAACTACAAACTTCACTTGTTTTTTAACTAGGCAAATTCTTTTTCGATTTTAAATATACATTTTATGTATATATGTACGTTGGATTTATTCACAGGATATAAGGGGGAAAAGGTTTTATTTAAAACGAATAATGATATAGCACGCGTTCGAACGAATGACAAAAAAAATCTTAATGGACAAACAAAACAGATATTAAGATGAGAAAAAAAGGAACAATTTCCGAATAGTGATTTACAAGGATTTCAGCGGAGAAACAAAGGAAAGTTATTTCTTGTACACATACATCAAAACTTCAATGATAAAGTAACTACAGTTTGTTTTACCAGGAAAGATATGCGTAGAAGTGTCTGTGGTGAAAGTCAAGTGTGAAATTTTAAGATAAAAAAATTTAGTCTTCTGGGTTATTTTTCTTCACACCATTCATTTTCTTTCTTAACCTAAAGAAACAATAAAACATGAAAAATAGGAAATAAACCATTTAACAAAGAAATAATTTATTCATATGTGCTACAGAAGAGTGGATCAGTGGCTTAATGATTAAGGCGTTCAACTTTCAGCCACCAATCTCCAGGTTTGAACCCCGTTCCACATACTTCTTTTTGGGCAACCAGAGTAGTATCACTAGCTTCCATATTTGGAGTATGGCTCATAACCAGCTTAAGAAAAAACAGATGTGGGGCGTTAACCTTTGTTGGTAAATACGTTTGACCCCAAGAAGATTACTTTAAGAAATCTTGGTACGTCTGAACTAACCCTGAATCTATCCGCTAAAGCGCATTACTGGTGAAGTGTTGTCAGTAGGTATTTATATCGGTTGTACAAGGTGATATTTTGGATTCAGTTAACTTATTTGCGAATCCAAGAGTATTCATTATATTTATTGAAAAAATTACTACTAAATCTCTCTCGACCATCACTTATAACAAAACATTAATGTCATTTGGTGAGAAGTATTAAATTGACGTTTTCTACTAGATAGTGATCTTTCTACTTTACATACAGATAGACGTTACCTGATTTGAATAAAAGCTTTTAACAATAAGATGAGAAACAGTAAGGGATAGGCAAATAAATAAGTCTAAGGAGTTAAACAGCTCCAGGATACAGACGAAGTCCTAGGGATAGAAAATTATGTAAAAGTCGATAAAAATTGTTCGGATCAGGCAACTTAATAATGGTTACGGCATTGGAAAATACTAAATTGTGAATATCCAACAATTAGCTTCCAAATAACTTTTCCAACAGTAAAAACTATTATAATGAATTGATGAGACGGCAATTAAGTTGATGATTGAGTTAACAGGCTGGTAAACATGAGATCATGAATGATGATGTGTGTTCGCAAATGGTTACTTAAAAGATGAGTGATTATCAGCATGTTTCCTTTTAAACGTAAAACCACATATTTCGTCGGCACGAAAAGAGTATCGTATTGTTTAGTCAAGAGGTGAACTATAAAAGTATGTATAAAAAGCTTGCTAGTATTTTAAATGGTTTTTGAAAGGATATTCAGTGAGACTTTCATTTATGGACGACCTTTAGGCAACGCCAAATTGACCTTGGGAATATCCACTTTCTAACTAGAACTACATGAAGTTTACAAGCCGGTGTGAGAAATTAGAATTTACACTTGATGATCAGGGTTAGGTACTAAATCTAGGGGTTTTAGCACGAAATGACATTAGCTAAAATGCCAAAACTCTATTTAGCCAAATGAATGAATTTCGCGCCGAAATCCAAGACCCGTTGTCATAAATCTGATTGGTTCGCCCATAAATCATAGTGTCGCCGAATATTTTTGCTAGGTCACAGGTATATTCTGGGTGTAAGTCTAAAACTACACACTTACTTGTTCTTCCTCCTGGGGCGTGAAATCACACTTAATATTGAAGGTTTTACGTATTTCTTCTGGTGTTTTTCCTTTGATCATATTAGCTACAGTTTTACAGCATACATCCAACAGTCCCCTAATATCGAGATAGTTGGCTGCTAACATCAACTCAAACAGTGTTCCTTGGTCGACACGAAGGAACTCTTGATCCCAACTAGGAATATCATCTGTACGACGTTCTTTGTTTTCGTCATCTTCCTGGGGTGGTGGATCGTCTTTGTGATAAGTACACCACTGAATAACTTTACGTAGAATTCCAGCATTAACATTTGGGAGGGGAACTGGCTCTTCATCTCCTTGCTCCTCCAACCCTAAATCTATAGAAAACAACAATATACAACATAGTCTTAATTACTTCCCAATTTCGTTCACAATAGTTAGCTATTTTGGTGGTTATACATATGGATTTCTAAATACCTAAACTTTACAAACTCAATAGAGGCTCAACCACAGTCTTATTCACATTATAATTGATGAATAAAGTGTACTTCATGTACTAGGATATCGTAAAACCCGCAAATCACATGTTAGTCTGGAAAATCTGGAAACCATGATGTTTTCAAGAAATACTTTGTCTGTGTCTCCAAAAAACTGAACTTTATGGAGCTGACAGAGCTTTTGCAGGTGGAATAGTCACTCGTAAATTCTGAAAATAAGTCACATTATTAGTGTTACGACTTGTTGCCAGTTAATATATCACGTGATAAAGTAGCCAATCAGAATACTACTTATACAGTCTTAAGACTGTGCCACAACAATGACGTATTGACCAATCTGAGCAACCTAGTGTCCTTATTGACCCTTTTCTTCCTAAACCGGCTTGTTGACTCCAGAATGCCGACAACAGCTTCCACTGTACGTGTCACATATTTCAAACATACTTGGCTTATATACAAACTAACCAGACCACATCATACCATAAATAAAAAACAACAATTGTACAAGACCGAGCCAAAAGGTGGCTGTGATTGTGAGAGACTAATTAGTAACAGCTTAAAAATAGTAAATCGTATAATAACCGTCTATAGGTCAAAATAAAGCATATAATAATAGGAATACAAATGTGCATAATCTAGTTACTTAAGTTATCCAATAAGGATATATGTATATCAAGTGATTTTGCCAACTCTAGGTTATGAATACAATCGTTTAACGCAACTGAATATTAGATATTCAATCAGATTCAAAAACCAACACTTTTGCACAAGAACTAGGGACAACATCCCCCAAGGAAGTATGTTGGTTTACATTAAACAGGAGTATCGAAAATGCAATGTGTGACATAAGCTTATTATCAACTTTGCTCAGAAGACTAGATAATATAGTAATGAATACTGTTAAACGTCTGTGAAACTGACCGACCAATAGTAGGTTAAATTTACTTAACTTTGTGAATGCATCAACTGCATAAAATAGACTCCTCAGTATGAATGAAAATAATCATTATTTAATACTTGTTTATTTATTTATTTGAACATATAAATATTGGTAAAAAGGGGTACCGAATGCATATGCGTCACACAAGTCAATTGATTTGTGTGTGGGTTGTGATACTGCCCGAGTTCCCAGACCGAAGCAGGTGGTTTCCTTAGGGAGTCGCTCTCTGAAGAAATTTTACGTCTCATAGTTTCACTTTACAATAACTTAGTTGACGAAAGAAGTTCGTACGTATGACATATGGAGTGCGAAACAGAAAGACGAAAGTAACAAGGCCGACACACTCCAGGCGAGTTACTGTTAAAGACAGTCAGGAAGTGTATTTTTAGGGCATTCCAAGTGTTGGTGTTAGTATGGGAAACGAGACCATTCTCTGCTCCCAGAGATCCAGTGAGTTATATTATTATTAGCCACCATGAAAATTTGTACAGGATCAAACATCAAAATATTAACGGCTATTGAGTGTAAGGCCATAATGTACAATAATACAGTGGGTTGGAACACATTACTTTAAGGAATAGAATGAGACCAAGGTGTATATAATTGCCCCCAAATGACCTGGTACGACCGAGGGTGGTGAGAGTCAGCTCTCCCTCTCCAAATGCTCTCACATGACCACGTAGATACAACCACTGCCAGGGGAATACCACTAACTGACTTCTCGTGGCAGGGGTGTTGTTTCCGAAACAGAGTACGTAAAGCGAGTATCCGGCGCTTAACTGGGTAGGTGGATATGGAGGATCCACCCAGGGGGATTGGAAAACCACTATTCCCAACCAATGGTGCACATGGGCTCCAGGATCCTGAAGGTGCAAATGGCGTATGGAACTATTGCTGGTCACCGGCCATCATGGGACTGTACCACCTGCTTCGGTTTGAGCACCAGGGTAGTTTCGCAGTTCTCACACAAATCATTGGTAATTACTACTGGCCTAATCGTTATTGTGTGGTGCATATGTATTTGGTGCCCGCTTGTACCAATATTTATTCGTCCAAATAAAGGAATAAATTCCATCATTACACTAACCTACTGTGTTAATCTTTCGAACAAAGAACAGATAGCTGACATCCAGAAAGAACACACTAGGATCGGCAAAACTACATTTTATGGACGAACCAATCAGAGTGGTAAAACCCCTAAATTTAGTTCCCAACCTTGACCATCAAGTGCAAATTCTAATTCCTCACACTGGTTTGTAAACCTCATTTAGTTCTAGTTCGAAGGTGAGCATTCCCAAAGTCAATTTGGCGTCGTTAAGGGTTGTCTACAAATGATGGTGCCAATGAAATTATTTAAGAACTTAAAAAACGGAATCTGAAAGCTCAGCTTAGTGAGGGACAATAACACAAACCAAATGATAGTCTACAGAACTGTGGCAAAGATTATGTACATGTCCAATCCTATTTCGGGTAAATTAGGGTTTCTGGAACTTTGGTGACTTTAATCAGACGGAATGAAACTTTGACGTTTTAGTGCTACTTCCCCAAAGTTTTCTATAGCGGTTTCCCCTGAATTTACCCAAAACGGCAATAAACATTCTCCAAAATAGGGAGGTCGGATGATAATAACACAAGCCCAAAGACGGACATACCGCAGAGTAATGTGGACTTTCGGGCAAACACAACAATCCCAAGTTGATCTAACATAAGTGCACAAAAAAACCACCTAAATAAGCCGTTCTAAGCGTTTACAAAATGAAGTTGGTGGAGAGTTATTTCGAAAAGTTATGATATGCAATTATTTTCTTACCATCCAACATAGTTTTTATGGTAACGGATTGTTTTGCAATAGCCACATCTATATCAAAAACCTCACCATCGGAACTAGCAAGTTTGATCGACGGCATCTTGGATATATCGTAGCAACCGCGGTAACCTCAGCAATCTGCACTTCCTTTTATCATTGATAAACTAAAACAAACATGTGCATTATAATAATATAGTGCGAAACAAAACACTTTTGGCGGAAGAATCTTTGTGAAAATAGAACACTTTCTGGTTTTAATGGTCCATTTTTACATACATTATATAAATCAGATGGAAAGATTGTATTAGATTTGTTCGTTGGTGACAGGTTGCTTTTCCAGTCTTCAGCTCTCACCAGTAGGGTAGGAAATCGCTCAGTTTGCGTCATTCCGTTCAGTTTGTAGTACTTTGAGAATCTAGTTTCGCTTTTAATGTCTCAGCAGATGCTGGTGTTACTTGTTCTGGTAATTCACCACAATCTGTGAGAAACAACTACAGAGGTATACGAATTGATTTCGAATTTCGAGCCTTCTTAGGATGTCCTCTCAGATGAACGGCAGAGATAAGAAATATCAATACTAAGATCATCATTCAATATGAGCTAAGCCAGTATTAGACTACCCCGTACCCTGTGGTAAGTTAACGGAAAGAGTTGAGATATCTCAGTTTGTCCTCATATGGCAGGCGTTAGAAAGATGTAGGTTGAATTAAAGTATTTCCACGCAGAATTGCATTGCGGAATGATAACCCTCTGTGTATTAAACAACCAGCGCTAGAATATACTTGGAGAAGACTCTACAATCTACATATGTAAAATTTCCAAGTATGCCATTTTTCTTATTGTGCTTCCCTCCACTAAGCAACCTTGTTTGTTTGGAATATAATTACGTTCCTGATTTGGGGGCTTATCGAGTGAAGTTGTGTCCAAGAATACCAATTAATAGGATTAGTTTGGTTGTAATAGGAGATTTTATATCAATGGGTCAGAGAGACATTTGACCATTTTAGTCCCTCACCGTTGGACTCATTCTAGCATATCCGTTTCATAACCGAAGCAAGGGCCTGCTGCTTGAATCACATATTCTATATGTGGCTGCAAAATTGTCAATTATAATACCCACAGATATGGCTTAAATCATCTGGAATTTGCTAGTCATATAATCAGGTAGTCATTTATCTAGTTATAAGCACCAAAAGTATGAAAAGTATAAGTAACATAAAATCCAACTGCGTTATCTCAAAAATAAGCAAAGTAACTGGGGTTGGATAACCGAAACAGAAGCGAGTAAAGGAAGCCAGTAAAAGTGGGATAGCACGCAATAAATAATATACGAGCCTACGTTACGAGAACTTGATCAATCATTTCTTTTTGAACAGTCTTTAAAGTTACCCTCTGGTGGTACCATTTTACCGGGGTACCCAGAATCAATGTTCATTATAGGTTAAGACCAAAATGTCCACTGTTTTCTGAGGTCGATAGAGGAAGTCAATTTCTTAATTCAGAAACTCCCCTAAGTACACATCTCTATATCTTTTCAGACAAAAACGCATTTAATTATGGTAAAGAAGTTCTTTTGATATTGTAAACTTCAGTGAAAAAAATTACGTACATTAAAAAGATTGAAAAATGGTCGATCGTGTAACATAATAAATGCGTTGAAAATATTTCAACATTTTCTTGTTGCACTGTATTGCTACATCTTGAATTTTCATTGCTAATATCTTGTGTGACCGAACTCAAGGTTCTAGCCTGCGACAGTTGATCATTACTGCTATTTCGCTGTTTACTGGAAACGTTCTTTGACCGCATTAGTTCTTGTGGATTGAGACTTGATCCTATTTTGTTCGGAAAATTCTTGCTGATTCTTGGGTACTTGGTAGGTGCATGTGGTGCCGGTTTTCGTATGTATAGTAAATTATTTTATACAAGAAAGAATTCTAACTGTATACTGACTGAGCCAGTATGACATGATCATTTATGATATTATTAGCACACAAAGTTAGCACAAAATGTGTTTTTCGACGTCATAGTTGACAGTGAATAATTCAAATAACCTCCGTACTCTATTCAGATGATGTATTATGGCCTGACAGACTAGTCCTTTGTGTCATTGAATCATCCTCTATGTTTTGACTAAACTTTTAGTTCTCGGTCGTAACTGGCAATGCATTAATGTATAGGCCTTTGTTTTTTTTTAAGTGGTGTAATTCTGAGAACTTTACTTGGATGCTACCCAAATCACAATCTATCCGTGTGCGAGAAGCACAACATTTACATCAGAAACCGGAGAATACTGTCAGATATTTCCTATAACCACCTATCTGAACTTTCCCCACTGCTTATTCTCTAACTACATCCGGGTATTTTGGAATTGCGTTTTAGTGTTAACAAATCTAGTAGATAACTGTAACTCGATGCGAATAACGTAAATCGGAACCAGGAATCTAGGAAATTATGAGGGATCAACAACAAATATGGAAAGAAGCCTTGCGATCGAAACACCTGAATATTTTACCTGTAAGTGCTATCCAGGATTTTTCAAATATCCCTTTGCCTTTGAAATATATTTAAAGACGATTTAGTATTGAACCAGTAAAATTTATGTGACATACTTTTATGCCGGCGGCCTTTTATCTGAAATTGCATCATATTCATAATGGAATTCTAGGCTTGCCTATTAATTCTCTAATTCAGCCACTTGTAAACTCCCTTTTTAGAATTGTGTATAGGATCGATGTGTGTCGTCGTATCGCCTTTTACCCCAAAACTAATGATGAATTGGACCCACAACGAACCGGTGCACAAAGGGTACGTAACCAAAGCCGCAAACCCGATAAATTTATTGTGATCTTTGAATAAACTAATGATACCTTGGTACTTGTCGAATGCTTGATTTCTAGTTCCAAATACAATACATTCGTTTGTGCTTGTGTCTCACTTCTTAATTCAATTGCGTTATTAGTTCGTGCTATAATTCAAATAATTCAAAACACTATACTGGCGTCGCGATGAAGCCTGCAATGGAAAAGTTAGATATTCATTCAACTACTGAAGCTTTTGAGGATTACTTGGAAATGTTCGAAATCTGGGGCATGACCAAGAAAGATGTTAAAGGTGATAAAATTGTGGACTACATTTCTCGACAGTCATTACAAAATAGACCTATTAATACTTCGGATTGTTTGTTAGTGCACCCTTTACTAGTGAGACGTTCAGATCTCATTAGAGAAACTCGTAGATATTTTGGATGTATATTCAGTGCTATAAGGAAAGGTTGGAATGCTAATTTGAAACGTAGATATCCTATCTATTTTTCAAAGCGGGATGAGCTATCTACTACTCCTGATGGTATTCTGTGTTTAAATGATCGTGTTGTCATTCCTCCTTCGTTGCGTAAATCTGTTCTTGAAGATCTTCATAGTGGTCATTTAGGTGTTGAGAAAATGAAGTCCTTGGCAAGGCTCACATGCTGGTGGCCAGAGATAAATGCAGATATATGTCGTACGGCAAACAATTGTGAGAAATGTCATCAGTTGAAAAATCATCCTTCGAAGTGGGTGCCATGACCAGTATCGTCTGAGGCCTGGCAGAGGATTCATGTTGACTATTGTGGACCATTTCTTGGTAAATACTACGCACTAGTAGTCATTGATTCTCTTTCAAAGTGGCCTGAAGTTTTTTTCACAACTTCACCAAATTCTGATTTCACAATACAAGCATTAAGAAAGGTGTTTAGTCGATAATGGGTTCCCATGGTGTTGGTGACTGATAATGGCTCACATTTCGCTGCAGATGCAGTCACTACCTGGTTGAACGGTATAGGGTGCAAACATCTATTTACTGCTCCCAGACATCCGTGTTCTAATGGTCATGCAGAGAACTTTGTTAGGACATTAAAGACTGCTATTGATTCTATAGCCCCCTCAACATTTAGTGAGCTGGAGAGGGGAGTAGATACCTTTCTATTGCAATATAGAAATGCCAGACATTCGGTGACGAAAGAGACTCCATCGAAGCTATTGAAAGGAATAATTCAAATATGAGATGTTTGGAGTCTGCAGAAGTTACATACTATCGAGGAAATGATCTTCAACCATCTACGGGTATTGTTCTGAAGAATGTCGGAAAATCGATGGTGCGAATTCTAGACATCGATGATTTAAGTACACACAGTCGACATGTAGATCAAATACAATTTCAGGAACCAGGTGAGTCAGTTCCAATTTCGATTGTTAATTCTAATGCTAATGAGCATATTCTAGATAATACAGAATCCTTATCCAAAACAATGTCAGACAGACTCAGGATGAATTTGAGAAGACGTACGATTGATTACAAACACCTAGACCCCAATTTAAGCTGTGGCGGATGTGGTGTTTGAATGAACTAATGATACCTTTGTACTTGTCGAATGCTTCTTTTCGAATTCCAAATACAATACATTCGTTTGTCTTTGTGTCTCACTTCTTAATTCAATTGCGTTATTTCTGGGACTCTTAGTTCGTGCTATAATTCAAATAATTCAAAACATTATATTTATGTATTGGCAAGTTAAATTTATTTCTGAATTTTAGTTTCTAGCTTTTATACTTCAAGACGACATTTGTCTTTAAAGCCTAGTGCTGAGCGCATAAGTCTAATTTTCACGTCATGGAACTTGTTATCCTTTAAGTAATTATTTGACTTTTTCATCGCATACGCATATGTAAACGAGATCTGTGAATCTTATCGATGTATCTTAAACACTTCACGATTACTTATCTTACCTCCAGAACGATATAGTTTGGATTATGTTTAGCCTTCAATTAAAGGTTTGGTACTTACTTACTTACTTACTTACTTACGCCTGTTACTCCCAATGGAGCATAGGCCGCTGAAAAGGTTTGGTACTCATCCTTTAATATAGATAAATTTAAAACACAATAGTTGGATTGAAATGGCTCTAATTATAAGGGTTATAAACATGAACTATACAAGAAATATAGACGTATAGCACCACCACGCTATACATTCAAAAGAATTACTCAGCAGTAGGCAGTATTGTCAAAAATGCTTTGAAGATACATCCATTGATTTTCAATGAATACGAGTTAATTACTTCTCAACCAGAAAAGAACATTTCTAACAATCTAGGAAAATTATGTTACCGTTTTG